GGTATAAGGGCGCCTCTCAGTGGTGACAATAGAGAAGTGCACTTGTTTCATGTAGCTCTTCAGTAGAGGAACAGAGAGGACTCGTAACATCTGTGAATGTAGCTGTTTGGGACACTTGTCTTCAATATCCGCAGCTACTCATTCATGGCATCAGAGGGTTTCTTTGTGGAGGTTAAACTTGTTGGTCCCTGCCCTAAAGCAGGTCAGAGGACAAGAGTGATTTCTGATACTAGTTTGTTTCTTATTACCAAACTGAAGTGTCCACAATTTGAAACCAGTGCTGTTTTATTGATTTATGTTTTATTTATTTTTTATTTATATGACTTTTATTTTACCAGGAATATTCCCATTGAGATTCAACATCTCTTCAATAAGGCTGTCCTGATCAAGAGAGCAGCATAATTTTCAGATAAAAGGACATAAAAAAAAAAGACTTAAAACAAAACAGCATAAAAATGTCTCATAAATAAAAAAAGTAACAGGCTGACAACAAACAGTAAACTACATCAAGTTAGCAGTATTCAGTAACAGGTGCATTCAGGGGTCAAATAGTCCTTAATTCTGTTTTTGGAATCTTCCATGCTTATAAAATAATCTAGTTTTAGGCAACTCTATAGCTCACACCAAGATGAGGATGCAAAAACCTTTATTATAGATTTTAAATTGTGTGTCTGGACTTGGTTTATGTCAGTGAAACCATAGTGACCTCTGCATTTTGGTGACTTAAACATACAGTATGTAATATCTGAACTAAAATATCAGTTGTAAAAGAAAGAGGAGCAGTAAATGAAATTCTTAATTATATTATTTAACATCTCCAATTTCAAATCATTAAAAAATAAAATAAAAAGTGTCCTCTTTGTACACAGGTCACATTTACATCGATTGATAAGACTGAAGTTCATTTAAATTTGCAATTTGCTTATTATTTAATTTCTTCATTACTGTTTTAAAGAAAATGGAGATGTGGTGGTTCAGAGGTCTAGAATGAGGCTGTGTACATGTTACACTTGGAATGAATAGCTCTCAAATACACCTTACAACACACTGCATTGTTTGTAATTCAGTGCAACCACACTAAGAACCTCAATAAATACTCATTAAAGTTGAGTGAACACCTACTGTATGTGACACATTCTCAATAAACAACAGTTTTTGTTGCATCTTGAGCTATTGCATTGTATTAGTTTGAACAGGTGTTCACGATATTGTGTTAATGACACCAGAACCTCCTAAGGCACAGTTCACATTAATCAAATATCTATTAAAATATATTCTACCACCTGGGCCGAGCCGAGGCCCGGATCTGCTCAGCTGCTGTGCCTGCGGCGGTTCATTTTTTGCTTAGTAATGCTGACAAAGGACCCCGACATACCCAGCAAATATTTGGTTTAATTTAGATTATTTGCATTTTAAGGAGCAGGACAAATAAGCAATAATAATAAGAGAACAGAACAAGATTAAAAAAAAGTATGATGAGACCAGATACCAAACAGATTAAAAGAGGGGCCTCATTTGTGTTACACAAGAAAAACATAACTGTTAGAAATAATGGAGTTAACTAAATATTCCAGACTTTAATCTGTGTTCCTTCCGATCATCGTGGGATGAGACATAGATTTCTTGTACGTGGGGGAAAGGATGTCCGCTGCATGCTTTGGAACTGCAATGTGTAATCAGGATCATGAAGTCTGCTCATTTGGTCAGTGCCGTAGGAGGAGGAGATGTAATGAAGAGAGGCTCAGAAAACCCTGTGTCTATACACGTGTCCACAAACACTTCTTTGCTTGTCAGTGGAAGCGAAGAGGCAGGTGCTGATCATCTGGGGGTCTCTATGATAGTCGGTCGTGTTTATTGCAGAGCTGTAAGATTCTGCTTTCCCATTCTACACTGCAGCATTTGGTGTTTGAGTGGCTCCAGTAATAACTTGAACACATGCAGGAATGTTGGTGTCACGACAGCTGGTGTCCAGGCTTTTATAGAAGAGCAAATTCAACTTTATACATAAACACCACAGATGGCACAGCCCTTCTTATGCAGTTACAGGCAGACTGATGTAATTACACTTGCTTGTAGACTCATTTGTACTGACCAAACACCAAAACAAAAGTGCCTTAAATTAAAAATCTGAAGGATAGCTCGATAGAAGCGACAAGCGCACACATACCTATGTCACTGCAGAGTTACATGCAAAAGACTGCATTTTTATTCCGTATAAAAAAAGGCTGATCTAATGGTGAAAGAAAAAAGAGAGAGGAAACGTGTACACACATCAAACAACATAATTCTGTTTCTCTGAACTTTAAACCTAAAACCTGTTTATAATCTGGAGTCACTGTAGGCTGCAGCTGGTCTATCTTTGCAAATAGGGATCATCATGTACACAAAATATACTACAAACACAGTGTGCATGCAGATCCTCATCATGGTGATCTCTTATTGAATGAATGTCTCCTTTGTGTAATTGTGTAATATACATTATTTTGCATATACACAAACAGTGATGTTAGAAAGATGGCTAAAAAAGTTGCATAACATTTTTGGAAATACTTTTAATTGTATTCTTGCAAGTGAGATTTTAGATGAGAAGATTGATACCACCCTCATGTTTGTCCTACTGCCAGTTATCTGAGCTTGGCTCTGTCCAGACGTGACAATCACACCTTTAAAACTCACTCATTAACATGTTCTTTCTTGTTTGCAAACTGAGGTTTTACAGGGGTTATGAGCTGGATTATTTCACGGCCATGGCTCAGTTACTTCTTTCATTTGCTTCCAACCTTCATACAAGGTTTAAGAACCAAATGGCTCCTTTAACCCGATAGAGAAACCATTAATGATAATGATAATGGGACAGAAACTCTCTTAATAGGAACAAGTTCAATAATGTATGTGCTCAGGTTTAGTAAGGGGTAAACAATTCTGAAAAACACCCTGCTAATAATTTCCTTATTGCATGTGACCAAAAATTAGAGACACATTTCTTTGAAGATTTCAGTTCATTTGGTTAAACCGGTGAAAAACAGATGAAAATGTTGCATGAAGGGAAGAGAACAGAAACATCAGGATATAAAGTGTTCAACTGTCAGCAGCAGGCGGCAGAGTGTGAGCTTCATCGTGGCTTTTACAGGGAAATATGTGCTGGACAGTTGGGAAGAACTACAAGGATTTCTTGAAGGCTCTTGTTTAAGAGACCTATGTATTGGATAAAATGTGAATTCTAACTGTTTATCATCTTCTCTGTAGGCATTTAAAGCGACAAAGAGAACAACAATGATGAAATTATAAGAGACATCTATCAGAAAGACAACTTCAGGTTGACTGAAGACACAGAACAACACGTTCCTCACAGGGAAGGAGAGCAAACTGGAAACTTTGGATGGTGAGACATTCGTTAGTTCATATGTTTCTCATAAAATGTTTCCTATTTTAGATGTTTAAACACTGACTGTCTTTGTTGATCATACTTGTTTTCTTTTTCTTTTTAGACCACTGTCACTTTGAAAGAGGGTAAACTCATGATTAAGTTCCTCAAATACCTTTTCACTGCGAGGGTGGTTTGAGGTGAACATGACTGTGACGAATGAACATGTGTGTGTGACAGAGAAAGCAGATGTTTGAATGACCTTTTTTCTTGATCACTTTTTTTTTAGATCAACACCATCGGTGATGATTAGTAAGAAGACAAAACGAGACCCGAAAAGGCTGCATTAAAGATCTAACAATAAATCATTGTATTTCAAGCATTCAACATTTGTATCTTTGTTCTTTCAACGGTAGTGTCATAAATACTGAAAGATGTCTTCACTTCACTTCAAACTTCCCCTTAAGCCCAGTTGCAAATGATTACAGCGAGTAAACTAAAGTTTTGCTCACATATTGTAATTAAAAGGTTCCAGTTATAGCATGGAAAGTCAGCAAGTTGTTTTTTGTTTTTTTTCTTTTTAATGTCACTGTGAGTTCAGCTTGTTTTTAATGTAGCATGTTGAATTACTCTGTCAGTTGTTGGGGAAACAACAGCTCTTGTTGCCACAGACAACTTATAACCATAAGCCACAAACCATGAAAGGCATAGAAGTCTTTTCTGACTGCATACAAATAACTTCCCACATACAAAGAGTAATAACTAACTGAACACCATTTACATCGCCTACTGACCAGATGTAATTGCCTTGTTTATTCAGACTAGCAAGCCTGAATCATCAACAAAGAAAAGATGAATGTCGCATCTTCACTTCCTCCCACTGTACAAAAATAAAGCCATATTATCCCGGATACAGCCGCTGCGATCTTTTGCCATTCGGAGCCAATTATAATGTGAAAACCCAATTTTTATAGCTTCGAATAACTAATTTAAACCAAACTTATCAGAAAAATGAGCACTTGAACATACATCACCGTGATAAGAACTACTAAAATACCAGAAACCATTAGATAAAAATTACTGGAGGAGGAAACATATAACACCAGGACCCTCTCATTAATTCATTAGTGTATTTGTGTCATGTTTGTTTCCGACACATAGATTCAAACAATAAGCCTTAAAGGACCAGTGTGTGGGATTTAGTGGCATCTAGTGGTGTAGTTGTAGATTGCAACTCACTCGTTTCACCTTCCCACCCCAAGAAAGAAACAATACTGTAGAAACATGCCAGTTCAACATGATGGACTCCATGGAAGGTGACTAACAGAACAACGATTCTTACTTTCAGGTGATTTTAACAGACCTATGAATGTAATATTCAATTTCTGCCAATAGATCCTCCTAAATGTTACACACTGGACCTTTAAATATCCCTAATACTAAGGATAATAAATCTATCCTCAAACATATATATCTGTTGTATCCTCTTGTTAAATTGTAGCTCGTCTTTGCAGTGAATACGTGCACAAATTACACAGAAAATATTTTTTCCCACTTTAATATTTAGACCTTGAATGTCAGAGACAATTAACACAGCATCAGTGGTGTAAAACAAGTGAATCGCATTATCGTTGGCTATATTTAGGTGATTTTTATTGGGTTAAACATGGACACTAGCACAAACATATTGTTTCATTCTTGTAGAAATACAGTACATAGTTTCACCACTTCTGTCAATTCAGATCTGAAAAGTAAAACAAAATGCAGCCCTGTGAAGCCGAGAGATGTTCCACTTGCTCCTCGCTATTCCTCTTGCTTCAGTAGTTGGAGCAAACATTGTCATGATGTGTTTTTACCTCCCACAGCAGTTTTTCTAATTTGAAGCATGTTGAGTCTCGCAGCGTTAGATCCTCTTGCTAATTCTTTTGAAAGTCACGCCCTTCTCTCCTGGAGTTATGCAGTACTAGAGGACATGGTATGGAAAAGATTAAGATGACTTGGAATGAAAATACAAAAAAACCAGCAACTTTTTTTCAGAGAATTTGTCTCAGTAAGCTTCATCGCTTTAGCACATGTGAAGTGGTTGCTTCTCTTACCATCACAAGCTTATCCTCGACGATCTCTGCTGTGAAGTGGTACTGAGGAAACTCTACTGAAATCTTGCCGCCTTCAAAAGTGACAGGAGCCTGCAGGTCACAGGGATGAAAAGGTCACAGAGGGAAATGTCCAATGAGCTTAACTGCATGAAAACTTTATGACAAGTTGACGAATGCGTGTCAGATTTGCTGTTAAATGACGATTTTCTTCAGGGGTCTGTTAATAACTCACCTTGAAATTGGAGCCTGTCATTGTCTTCAGCTCACACTCCTGGCCCACGCTGAACTGATTGGACCAGGTCCAGCCGGGAATGGTTTGCGTCCAGGTGAAGTTGTTCCCATCCTGGACCACCTCTGTTACCACTTTGTGGTCTGTCTTGGCATTAAGAAGGCCTGTGACAGAAATTCAACACAAAGTTTAAATGACGACTCACATTTATCCATTTATTGGTTAAGTAATCAGTAAGAAAATCCGTATACCAATCGCTTCCAGAAACTCCTCATACTTGTCTTGAGTCTCCAGCTCATATTTCCCAGTGAAAGCCATGATGGTGGAAGAAAGAGACGAAGTGAGGAAGGAGTTGAAAAGAGGAATAAAAAAAGTGGAGGAGGAGGAGTGGCCTGCTGCAGATACTCTCTCTGTTCCTTCTGAATCATACCCACCTCTTCCTTTTCTCTCACATAAAACTCACCATGTGTCAGTCGCACATGTGTGAAAAATGTCAGCCGGTATTTTTCCAAGACAATTTGTTGCATTGTTTTATGCTACAGTGTCGTAACTTGGGAAAAATCCTTGGTATTTCTCTGCTCCTCAGTCTGTCAGAGTCAAGTTATTCCTGCACTTTGCAAGTCTGAGCATGTATGGTGTCGTAAAAAAGAACATAAAATATAGAATAACTGTGTACATGTTACTAACATCCTTTAAATAGAGATCACAGAGGTAGTTTCAGCTTTATGTAATCTGTTTCCTTCTTTGCTGCAGCATTGATTATGAACTGTAAATGTGAAAATAACCTTCTTGAAGTTAAGACATTAAATGTTTCTTGTCAAGAACTGCCTCAAAAATAATAACACTCCTCCAGCATAACCCTGCATACAATGCACATAACCGCGAGTTACAATTATGTGGCTATGTAATGTGGTTGAGCAATTAGCATTTGAGTAATTTGTCTCTGTCCTGCAAAACCATATTACTTTTATGTTAATTGATTAATTGACTAATTACTCTTTCCACATCTCCAAAAAGACAATAAATGATTTGAAATATTGATAGGTAAGGAGATGTTAATAAAACGGTTCAAGACTTCCTCATACTAAATCCAGGCTTGGGGAGTAAAAGATGAGTTACGTAATCAGGATACAAAAAAATTGCAATCCATTACAGTTACAGAAAAAATATGTAATCGGATTACAGTTATATTTAGTAAAATGTGGATTATTAGCAGGATTACAGTTTTATTACATCAGTTTTTCTTTGATCTGAAGACATTTCTATGCTAAAAACATGTGTTTCCATTTTGTTTTCTCAGGTTACATTGTTCTGTTGATTTACAGACTACTGTGTGTGACTGAACGTTGCTCTAAGATGAAAAGATAAAGACTATTATTATTATTATTATTATTATTATTATTATATCTGGTATAACAATTAACATAATGAAATAAAACATGCATTCTGTCATGATCCATAAAACAAACAAAAACAAACAAACTTTAACCTGATGGATTATATTTATTTACAACATTTAAATCAGTCACATTATTAACAGTATAAAGCTCCATATATGGAAACAGCCCCTTGATCAGTGGCAGTCATGAGAGATGGCAGTGTTTCTATACAGTATGGAGCTCAGGTTACATTTCTGGAGAGAACTGGACACAGAGACAGCTCTAAATAAAAAGAATAGCAGGAATTAAGCATTAAGTTGTAGTTTTTATAAGGACACAGAGCCAACTGTTCCTCTCTATTTCCAGTGTTTTATTAAGCTGTTGGTTGTAGCTTCACACTTACAGTACCTGTCAATCATGTCAGGGTGAATTTGAAATGTATTCTTTGGAAAAATGTGCACAAATAAATGACTCTAAGTAGATTACATTGCCTTTACATTGAATTAGGTTTTTAAGATACTTCCGCGTTGGCTTTTCACTTTTCAGACCCGGAAGCAATGTCCGATACACACACACACACACACACACACACACACACACACACACACACACACACACACACACTAAATGTTTTTTGGTTTCACTCCACACCGAGGTTGACGCTCTGTCGGTGGCTGTGGAGACACTGGTTGGCTGCCACAACGCAGACGGACACACTGCGGTAACGTTTTCACACCATTTGATGCAGATTAATAACAATATTGTATCAGGGACATTCAGCTAATAAACTGAAAGGTTTTAATGCTTAGCAACCCGAACAATGACCGTTGCTGTGGTGGGTTTTGACGTTTGAGCTCGGAGAGGTCAAAATCCGCTGGTCAGCAGTGCGCAGAGGCGCAGACTTCATCCTAAATGCGACAGTAACTCGCTCATTTCTGAACCGATTTTCATGAAATTTGGTTTGTTATACATTCTTGGCGTCACCAGCCAAAAAAAAAAAAAAACGTTTTTTTTTACTTTGCTGCTACAATGTTGGAAAAAACTCCTCTTTGTCAAACTTTCACGAACAAATGCTCCTTTCTTGGTTAGTTTCTCCTCACAGATATGGCATCTGGAACAACAGGGACATATTCCAAATATAACACAAATCATTGTTCTTGGAAAACTGGTTTGGTCATTTACCCTCGTTATTGTCATACTCTGAGCATTCCTATACCACCAAAAGAATACGCTTTAGTTTTTGCTTCCTTCTGGTGTCGTAATGCTGATATACATGCCTCATTTAAAAAAGAAGTTGTCTCTGTTCCAAATGTCGTTTCCTACTGGAATAACCTCTATCCAGACCTGGACTGGAGGAAAATAAAATTAATTGTCATGTGTTTGGTGTGATAATAGTGCTTTTATTGTGATCATATGCTGAATTTGTTTGTGTTTTCCATAAATTCATATTCATAATAGCAAACCCAATATATATGTGCAAACAACTTTTTAGTTAAACTTACACATGTATGTTGTACCCTCAACATTGCATGGTTTTCAGTTCCACTCACAATTAATTAAAGTTATATATAATATAATTATATATTTTGAATTCATTCATTTATCTATTTTAAATTTATATGTAGTATTTATTTTTTATTTATTGATTTTGTTGGGTTTTTTTTGCTCTGGACCCTCTGTTGTCTTCACTTCTTTAACGTTCTGAATATGTATCATGTCTCAAAAAATGTTTGGGTAGGAGCGCGGAGATAAAAAATAAAAAATAAAAAAATGGCCAAACAAACTCTCGACTATCCTCTGAATGAGAGTTAATGTGTCAATCAGTACTAACTCAGATATTTTTAAACTGTAGTGTAACACTGTGTCTTTTTATTTTGGCAGTCATGGAGGCAGGTGGACAGTCCTTGATGTCAGATAGTGACAGTGAGTAATTATTTTGTTGTCTGAAACACTGTAAGAACTAGGAAGAAGAAAATTACTTAACATTAAACGTATGTCTTTGATGTAGAAATGTGTTAAATGTATAACTTTCATGGACCTAATAGTTCAGGATTTTACCATAGGATTATCAAACTATTCTTTCTGGTCAATTCTGTTGTTTTTTATTTATAGTGGTGCTTATACAGTATTTTTCGTTTTGAGCAGCGCAGTATGCAGGGTTCAGCATTTGCTCTGTTTCTTTGTTCTAAAATTATAAATCCAAAATGAACACTTTATACGTCTAGTCCCTTATAATTCACAATCAATTCTTTATGTTTATGTTATTTATTTTATCTTTATTAGCTACTGCAGCTACTGCTTCCTGTCTTCTTGGGGTCCACATGCATTGTAAAGTGCTTACATGTGATTTAACAACTAATATGACAATCTTAATGTAATATGAGATGAATGCTCATCAGCTGCATTATAAATATAGAAATAAATAGTTAACTTAACTGCAGTTAACTTGCTGCCTAATATATCCCACCCACTGAAAGGTGCCATCATAACGAGATAATCAGTTTTATTCACTTCACCTGTCAGGGGTCATAATGTTATGACTGATTGGTGTATTTATTAAATGAAGCCTCAAATCCAATGAATCACATACAATGCATTTACCTGTTACATGAGACATATCAATGTTATTTTTTCCCTGCCTTCCCTCAGAGGAGCACTTCGTGGATAAACATAAGGTTGAGTTGATCTTGACTGTGCAAAGCGTTGATCCAATTTTGGATGAGCTCCTTACAAAGGGGGTTATTCAACATGAAAGTTATGACAAAATCAGGGCTCTCTCGACTTCGGTGGAGAAGATGAGGGATCTCTTTGAAGCTCTGGAAGCTGTTGGAGTTGGAGGCAAAGACATCTTCTACAACATCATTAAGAAACTGCAGCCACATGTTATTGAGGAAATCTTCAGTCCCTCGCGGTGAGGCTAATTCATATACAAAAAAATAGTAAATAAATTAGTATAATGAATGTTTCCTAAACAAATTGGAGAAACTGACTACAAGCACCATAAGTAATCAGTTGTTCTTTACCATTTCAGAATTGTTTTTCAATCTGCAAAGAGTCTGCCAGAAAGCAGCAAGAGAGGTTCAGTGAGTAGATCCATAGCTATCTAAAGCATCCTTTTTGACTTTATCAATAATTAGTAGTTCATGCCTCTCATCTCTTTCTGTTTTAATTTTGATATCTATGGATGGATGATTACATTCAAGAGTCAATATGTAAGTGAATATAATTTAAAGTTTTAAAATTAGGCTTTAATACCCCAGCAGGTAATTTGTAGATATAATGAAATCCTTAAAGACTCTACAAACTACATACTATCACAGTTAAAGATATACAGTGAAATTAGACTTTATCTGTTTTCAGAAGCCTTTCATATCTTGGACCTCAACAAAGATCGTAAAAGTAACACGGACGTCCCCTAAGGATGACTGGATTAAACTTGAGCCTGAAGTGAACTATGTGGATGCTTCAATTTACAGGTAAAAAACGTTTTCTAAAAACAAATAAAAACAAGGCATATTTTGTTGTCTCTTTACATGAACAATATTAGTTGGTCTTTCAGTGCAAAGGGAACCAAAGTTTTCCCTTTCATAAATTAGCCATCAGTCTGAAGCAGGTAAATTTGAATGCAGTGTCTCTGGCTTGCGCTGGGTTTGTAACGAAAAGATCAGCCTAAAATACCAGTTTGGCTTTTGGGAGGAACACAAGGAGAGACTGGAAACCATGCAATACATTGCTGGAGGTCCCCTACTGGACATCACAGTCACTGCTGGAAAATTAGATGAAGTATATCTGCCGCACTGGATCTGCACAGGTAAGCAGCAAAATATAATAATACAAAAAGAACAACTTTAATGATGTTTAACTGCATGTTTGTAAAAACCTTAATGCTCTTCTATGCAGATGACATCCCTTCAATATTGGACAAGTTTGCGGTTCTGCACATAGATGCCTATGGAGATGTTGTGGAACAAGTGTCTGAGGTCACACCATCCCATGTTAAGTTATACCAACCAGTTTTCTCTCCAAGAGGAGTCCTGATGAAAGCGGGCTTTCCAGTGAAAATTAACTGTAAAGTGTTAATATACAAGACCAACAAAGCCTTCCTCACACTACATGTTTATCTGATCCCTTGTGATCCTGCTATACAACAGGTTATTGGATATCCTACTGTCACCATATTGATTCATACTTCAAAACACAGACACCAATGTTGGCTACTGGAACCTAAGCTGGAACGAAGCTTTTTGTGTTTTTTTTCCCCACCACAGATGATAAAAAACAAGGAATTATCCAGTGGACACAAAATGATCCCAAAGCCATACCCAGTGAAGGCCCTGAAAATGCGTGACCGTTTCATTCTCACAGCTGATACGGAGAGTGCAGAAATTTACCCTGAAGTATGGTTTGAACTGTCTCTTAGCTATTAAATCTAAGTGAATTATAGAAATATATATAATACTGTAGGATGAGAACACAGGAACATGTTGTTCAATGGAAAAAGAAACGTAATATCTAATATAACTGAGATGATGTTGCTAAGAGAGGTTGTTTGTGCTGATTATTGATAGTCTGTATTTTTATCATCATTGAAACAAACTTAAAAATAAAGTCTTATCTTGTTATCACACTAAATTGGTATCTTTGTGATAAAAGATTAGACATCAATACCATTTGTTATCTTGAAATAATGAGGACCTTCATTTGACAAACAGCAATAGTTTGACATTTGTTAACATACTGTCTTACTTAAAGTTAGATGTCAGCACACTAGAAAAGACTAGAAATGGGGAACTAGCTACACTGGCTCTGTTCAAAAGTATCTGGCCACACCGCCTACTTCTACCTGCCTTGCTGAACTGCTGTTGCAGTGCATCTTGTTGAATCTCTAGATGACACGCTGCTGCAGCTGTGCTTGCACCACGCTGCTCAAGTGGGCTGTGTGGCTGCTCCAACCTCTTAATGTGGGCGCCAAATGAAAAGCTGCTCACCAGGTGGTGTGGCTTGGCCATAAAGCTGGCATATTAACATGTTGTACCTTGATCACTGCGCTTCTCAATCACAACATCCTGTTTTTACAGTACTGTTATTGTTAGGATTAAACATAAGGATTAATGCTTGGACAGAGCCAGGCTAGCTGTTTCCCCCCTCCTTCCAGTATTTATGCTAAGCTAAATACAGCTCATGAGTTGAGTGTGGTATCAATCTTCTAAAAATAATAACACCTTAAAAATTGGCACAAAGTCTAATTCTGTTCCTTTTTTCCTATTATATGCAGAAATTAAAGCTTGCATATGAAAGCAGTGACCCAAACTTCTTTGAAGTGTTCATTGAAAATCCAGACAGTAACTTCCAGCTCACACTCAGACATGGATCTGGACCAGTGTGGACCAGTGCAATTCGAAAAGGTCAGTGGTTATAAATAATTATTATGCTACTGTATTTACTCTACCTATATATTGGCCGTATTTATCTCAAATGCCTTATAAATAAACACCTATTAATTTTTTTGCATTTTGTTTCAGATGACTACGGTGATATTCAGGTGGTGTACGGTAAGACGCTGTATATGATGAGTGTTTTGAAGAACTACAGTAGTTTAAGTGTCATAAGATCTGCTGTAGATATTTCACATAAAGCTGACAAACACAATCTTGGTATGGTGTGACAGGTTTGTTATAAATTAAAATTTAACACCACAAACATTAATACATCGTGATAGCATATATGGTATTCTTCACAGAAGAACTGAAATTGTTTATTAAACGGTAATATTAATCATTCAAATCTGCTCCAGATAATGAATTTAAGACCTTAAAGCTGCAGTAATCACTGAAAATGTCAAAATGTATTTGTTTATTTACATTTGAATGGATCGTTTTTAAACCCAATGTTATTGATTTCTTTTATCTGACGGAAAAAAATCAATACCCATTGATAAAAAAATAAATGCATTTCCTGGTTACTTGACCCATATTAATATTACTATGTTAGGAAATGTATTTTAATGGCCGTGCACCATGAAACCACCTTAGAAGGGTCACAATTTGAGTCTTTTTTTTCTCTTTTCACTTTTATTGTTTTAGATAAGGAACTTGCCAGCGTGAGGTCTAAACTTGTGGTTAAAATGTCCAGAGAAGTTATTAATCAGCTGCTGGATGACCTTTTAGAAGATGGTGTCTTAAATGACGAGGAGAAAGACTCAATACTTCACAACAACAGGGCAGACAGGGCACGCTGCCTCATTGACAAGGTGAAGATGAAAGGATACACAGCCAGCAGGAAGATGTTTACTCACCTTCAAAGCAGAGACCCTACACTGTGCGCTGAGCTGGGGCTGCCCTATGGTCTACCTGTTTAGCCAGGTAAGGTTTCAGCAGAACTGGTCAACATTGATGAGCTTGGGAGGCCTTTATCTTATTTTTTATTTGAGTGGTTTGACAAAGTAGTATTATTCTATAATATCAACAATGATTTTAGTCCCTGCAAAGGTCCTGAGCTTGTGCATATCTTTCTGCTTTCTGACATGAGAGGTTCAAAGTGTAGTGCACAGAGAAGTATAATTTAACTTTACAGTGATTCTGTATTTTTGTGTTCCTGCAGTCTACACTCATCCTGCATTGGGAACAGAAAAAATGAAGACACTCCTAAATCATTATGCAATGAAAGCCATATCAGGTGACTGACATGAGTCACGTTTTTATAATGAATATGTAGTGACCAAATTAATCATATTGCTGCTTCTTATCTGCTGGATGTCTATAAGCAACTGTTTTCTAACATGTTTGTAAAACAATTTTATATTTTTAACTGTATCTTGTTGACTAAATACATTATATAAATTGCAAAATTAATCTGATGAATGTAAGATTCTTTTACAAATATTAGTTCAGTTTTATGAAAGTTATGTACTGATTTGTTTTTGTTGTTGGATATAAAGTGCAGTGACTTAAAGGTGGGGTAAGCTAACAGACCCTAACAGATACCATAATAACAAGAGCACAGCAAGTAATGTAACTGATGTTAATTCTGATGTGGGTTTGCTAACATGCAGAGAGGATGAGGCGGTTTCCTAGAGCCAGCACACCAGCACCAGACAGCGATACACTCACAACTCTCACAACTCGCTACTACAGCAAACATCACAATAACAACATATCTTGGAAACCTAGAAAGTAAGATTAATGTGTACGGGCAAGAAATTTAACTTTTACTGTTGTGTGGCTCGATCCAATGTTTTTCATGTACAGAACCAGAGAGCATTTTTAATTAAAATTGCATTACCTAGAATCACTCACCCCACCTTTAAAGTCTAATTACAGTTTGTTGATTTTGTAATTTGATTTTAATAAAATATTTCTTATAAAATGTTGTGGCTGATGGTATTTTTTCTCTTCTGGTATCACTATGATATTCATGACATTTAAATTGTATGTTACCGTATTCTTACGACACACAACATATATCAGTGGTTTATATTTATAAAAACAAAGAAAGAATGAAAGAAAGTAGGGTAAAATTGGGAGTTCCTCCTCAACTCAGTTGACTTGCTGAAATTTAAAAAAAATGAAAGTTCCTGAAACTCCGTAGAGATTTTAAAATAGATAGAAACTGGCCATATGTGGGCAGGAGGTTTTATCTGTACCAGGCCTGGGGAAACCTCTGTCGCTGATGATCCTTAATGTATGGTAATATAGTTTGAACCTTGCCTTCAAGCAAAACTAAGTGGTTGGAAGCAGTGCTTAAAGAGCAAGCCAAAGCAAATGGCTTGGACTGAGCCACACAACACTAACTTGTTATTCTAGCCAGGATTTGTGTGTCAGGTAACATTAAATTACTTGCCCATGGACACTGAGCTTACTTTGTAGTTTGCCAAGATACGCTGTTATTGTGAAGTTAGCCGTAGTAACAGGAAAGCTGTGAATTATCGCTATCTGGAGCTGGTGTGCTGGCAAAGGGAAACTCATCTCATCCTCTCTGCATGTTAGTTTCAAAGCAGCAACTTTAGAGACAGTTTACAAAACTACAACCCAGCTAATGTTAGTTACATTACTTGCCATGTCATTCTTTGTACTATATCACAGTCTTGGTCTCATGGTTTTGGATTTCTCTTTAATTGTTACCCAACCTTTAACTCACTCCACAAAGATCTGATGTAACCTTTCTCACATTCCTACATGAAACTAAGTAAATATCATCTTTCCATTGTGTTTTCTGCATTGGTTTTACTGTTTGAGGTTTGACTTGTGGTCTTTTAATTACTTATCTTCTAGTTTTCTGCCTGGAGATTTGTCTGCTACTGCTTATTTTGATGAACCAGCTCCAAATAATTGCATACCAGCAGTGGTGGAAGTAGAAACAAGCATTCATTCGCATTTTCTTTTGCTGATTTACTTAAAACTCAGTTCAACTTTGCAATACATTTGGATGGAAACACACACTAACTCAGACTAATCTCACTGTGAAATGGATGATAACAACTGTTTGTGCTTGTCTACCACAAAGTAAGGAATCCTGCTCTTAACTGCCTTCCCAAAAGCCCACAGTCTAACATGGCTGCAAATACATGACAGTAGTTCTTGTTGAATAAAGCATAGAGGAAAGGGTTCAAAGAAGAGTTAGCATATCCAAGCCACATGGAGGACTCCAGAACCAGGAGGCTGATACTGTAGGACTTCAGAGGATGGGCTGTATTAACACATAAAAAAACAGAACAGGAAGACCCCCATAATCCGACCCAGTGTCTTAACAGCCCTATGTTCCTTCTTCAGAGAATGTTTTTCCACATGAGCCTGGACTCGTCTGGTGGAGTCAGTCCTCAGGGGCTCTGGTTCATCTGAAGCTGCCCACTATGGTGATCAATTGCATGGATCCACCTTGCTTGTCCCTGGGCTGCCTTTAAGATTTTCCCATAGTCAAACAGCATGAAACCCATGGGAATGAAGAAGGAGATAGAGGTTGCAAAGGCCAGATGAAACGTGGCCAGACAGGTTTTGAGTATCCTGCTGAGTGTTGCTGCTTGCCACGTCAAGAGGCAACTGAGTGTACATGCAGAGGGAGATGCAAACGGAGGAGATGACCAAAGGCAGAATCCAGCAGAGCCACAAGCCTAGAAAACATTCGAACAGGGTAGCTCAGTGGATCACACACTGCAATGTATTGGTGTCAGGCAGCTGAGATTAAACATGGAGGACATACAGAGGGTGATGTCCAGCAAGAAGTGTGCTCGGGCAGAAGCAGCCAGCTGCCGATGCAACGTACCAAACTGAAAGGCATCACCAGCACGGTAAACAGGAAGTTCGCCACTACCAGGAAAACCACTAAAGCATTGGTGGATGTCCAAAAGCTTTGGAAATGTGCCACTGTAACAGAGATGAAAAGATTTCCTTTCATGGCAAAGTTGGGGATGTGTAGAAGGCACAGCACACAGACTTTAACAATGGTGCTCTGAAGTAAAGCAAAATTGCTGCTGTCATTAATCAGGCTGTGGTTATCTGAGGTGTCTGGCATCGAAATCACCATCAGCCACTCAATATAAATCCATTTAGGTCTTCAAGTGGATGCCTTCCCTTTCCCTCCAGTGCCGATCATGTCTCACTGGTTAATCTAAAACTCCCTCTGTTCCTTCACCATATGGAGCTGCATGCAGACTCTGTCTATGTCTAGTATTGATCCACTGACAAAACAAAGCCCATCAGGAGTAAATAATTCCCTGGGATGTACCAGAAGTCAGTGGACCATGAGGTAAGTGAACAGATACAGTTAGATGTCTCATGGCTGACCTGGGATTGAAGATCCCTATCTACCTGTCTACATAAACAATAAACCCTCAGACTGATCTCTTGTCACTGGAAATGTTCTTCTAAATAACAGCCTAGTGTTTGCTCTTCGCCTCAGACACTCAATACTGAGCCCCTCTCTTCACTCAGGACACAGCCCAACTTAAAACATATAACATCCATTGATCATCAGACTGACATCTAAGATAATATATAATGGTCATTTCTTTTCACATCCAGTAAGTAGAGTTACAGAGAGAGTTTTGCCAAAAGTACCATTTGAACAACGTTCTAAGTTTATTTGTGTTTCGATCACATTTCTAATATTGATATTCATAACTTTTTGAACATCAAACATACAAACAAGATCATATCTGATGATTGTGCGCACAGCAGATAAACCAGGTTATATTTTATTACCACAACATACCATGAAGATATCAAGTGACTGCAACAGAAAGGTGATCATTTGTCTTATCACACATTTTACACGAGTCAGGCTCTTGGTCATGTTCAGTCTTTTTTTGATCTGAAGGGGGTGAAGGGAAGGCTGTGAAAATGTGTCCTTTTTCCTTTTTAAATTAATTTTTAGTTTAATCAAAAAGCATGCACTGGTCTTCCAGTCCCAAAGAGGGCGGCGAATAGTTATTTTGTCTTGAACTCTTGAACCTTCCTGTCTATGTCAACCACAGATACAGTAACATAGACAAAATACTTCTGATACAGCAGCATAGTCAGTACTCTTCACCTCACATTGACCACTAATGACATTGAAAATCCACTGACTGACGAATGATCAAGGGACCATGTACAGTGACTGCAGTAAATCTGTGTAACCCTACATCCACGCTCTGTTTGTGACTTTAATCCCTGTAAGGAACTAACAAGTCATGTCTCAGTAAGACTCAGCAGTCACACCTTGTCATCAGGCATCATGTTGTCTTTGTTGCCCTTATCTCGATTCTTCCCAAAGGAGAAAGAGAAGACACCACCAGACGTCTCCTCAGCTTGTTTCCCTCCTCTTACCTGCCCTCTCAGAGTTCCCTGCTGGCAGTCTGCGGGGCTGCCAGGCAGCAGGTTGGGTGTGGAGGGAGTCGGGGTAGTGGCCCTCCAGATGTATAATGTTTCCCCTTCAGGGCAAGGTTGGAGACCCTTGCTCAGGTAGCTAGGGCTTGGACTGGCTGAAGAGGGCAGGGTACGCTGGCTCCCGTTTAAGCAGCTGGAGTTGTGATCCGCTGAGCCTTTGCGTGAGTGTCCGGACGAGCTGAAGTTGGAGGAACGGTAATTGTATGCCCTCCAGCCAGGACGTTTACGCTGATGACACTGGCATCTCAGGATACGAATGAAGGCCAGCTTGAACTCGCGGTTGTAGCAGGGGTAGATGATGGGGTTCAGGCAGCTGTTGAAATAACCCAGCCAGAAGATCACTTTGAAGAGGACATCAGGTGGGCGCAAGTTCACATTAAAAGACCCTGGAAACATAGAATAGAGAGAGAGAAAAGGAGATATTTAATTCAATCATTAGTGGGCAGTGGCTTTGTACAGAAGCCTCAAATTAAGACCTTAAAGGGTCTGAAACCCTTTTTTCTCAAACGTTTACTTAATATGATACATATACAGTATATATATAATATATAAAGTTATAATATACAATTAGGGTTATTTCACGTTCAATATTTCTGTCTCGACTGTTTTCTCTGTCTCTCTTTTCACTAGTTTGAGTGAAAACTAGTTTTGAAAAAGGAGGATTTTCACCCACTTCTGCTCACCAATCAGAAATAAGCAACATTTAAATCAAAATGGGATGACAGTTGTGGGGTTGTTGCTTATATTGGTGGTACTATCAAACAAGTCTGATCAAACCACACAGACATAGCGCAGATGCATGTTGAGTATTTGAGTGTTAAACTCAAATAATACTTAAAGATGTTTTTTCTAACTTCAACTTTTGATGGTTACTTATTTAGTCATGAAGTTAACCAGCTAAACTTGTCTTCCAAGTGTATAGGAGAAACTACAGTGGCCGCAGAAAATGCAAGGATTGTGGATGTTCACATAATTTCTGATATTTGATCTGTTTAATGTGCGCAGTATTGGATCCGTGCAGCTTGACGGTTATTAGTTTTTCCTTTAGCTCTGTTGATCCTCTCTTTGACTGTAGGTTATATTTTACCCAGCAGGTGGCAGCATTCATTAAGAATAACACAGGACTTCACAGCGAGACTGTGGGCAGACAGGATGTGAAGCCCAACAGCGAAAGACCAGAGAGGGCACGAGCTATTTATCATTAAGTAAAGACTTTGTGCTTCCTTTTCTCTAAACACGATGCAGCCGCTCTGTCACAGTTCCTCTGGAGGACTTAGGAGGAATAGAGATGAGGGTGGGATGATCCTGAATTCCCTTTCAGATAAACACACTAGGGGAGAGATGCTTCGCTTCGAGCAAAGGGTAGCTTTTTAAGTTGAAGTTAAATAGCACCTTTTGTGTAAGAGGTTACACTGCCACAACAAACCTTCCCTTGCTTGCACCTGCAGATGTTTTCAAGGAGCGTTGCCTTTGGGAAGATAGGATGTAAGGTAGATTTAACAAGGACCTCCCCCCCATCCTAATGATTACAAAGGATTCTAAAGCAAGTTTTCTGTGTATGCTAGTGAGTGAGTTCAGCTTGTGTTAAACTGCAGTAATCTGCCCTTCTGGTGCTTTCCCTCCTCCCGTGGCCAGGCTTAAATAGAGGAAGAATATCTTACAAGCTAATGAGGTTAGAGGGGAAGCCTGGAGATAAAAACAGGGAATTTATAAGCAAGTGTGAAATTGGTGTGAAAGTTGTGTATTGGTGTGTGTTTGTGTGGGCAGATGTGAGTAAAACTGTGTTTCTCTACACCAACCCACATTTTAAAATTAATATCTCAGTCCTGAAGAGGCTGATGATGCACTATAATCTCAGGCTTTCAAGTGTGAAATTACCTCTGGTAAAATATTACAGGCAGACAGATAAGACACCTTAGTGTGGTTCTTCATGAATATCAGATCAACAGCATTACCAACTATTTCAAGCGATACAAGGTCTATTATTTAGTACATAGCCAAGGGATTAAATGTATTATTGGCTGCAAATAATGATAACAGCCTGAAGGGAGTTGTGTCCAGTTAATGAGTTGAAAACAATTGTTTTGGTTTGATACCATAAAAACCTGCGCATATGTGCAACCATGCAAACTTGACAATTTGACAACACAAACGCGCACACACAAACAATGCCCAAATTTGTTAACCTAGAGGAAAGTGATAAGAAAGTGATGTGACAATATATGGTAATGTTACTTCCAGCTTCATATAACTCCTGAAAGCACTACAAACTGTGTGTGTGTGTGTGTGTGTGTGTGTGTGTGTGTGTGTGTGTGTGTGTGTGTGTGTGTGTGTGTGTGTGTGTGTGTGTGTGTGTGTGTGTGTGTGTGTGTGTGTGTGTGTGTGAGATGAAAACTGTAGATGAATGGGTCTCTTCTTAGTGCCTGGTATTTTCACATGCTATTTTCGCTTCTGGACAGCCACTTAAACGTGATTACATAACCGTGTGAGTTATGTCTGTTATTAGGATACAAAGTACGATGGAGTGGAATTATAACTTGGTCATTCTCTCATTTCTCACCCTGTCTCTCTCTTTCCTTCTCCCATTGTCTGTCTTAAATAAAGAAAACACAAATAATGAATACCCAATGAAAGATAGAAACAAGCATTTATATATACTACTATATATACTATATACTTTATTGAGCAAAATTGTGATTTTTACTGTTACTGTTTTTAACTGACTGACCATAAATCAACATTTTTTTAAACAGATAACTGTATTACTGTTAGTAAATTGTAGAAATCCTGAAAAGAAGGCTATGTGCTGCTTCAAAATGTCCCAGAAAAGTTAAATCATCAGTAAATATTTATATGCTCTGTACTAGGAGTGATACCGGCATTTTTTTCCATTATCCATTTATCTAACAATTATTTTTTTCAATTAATGTGCAAGAAAATTTGAAAAATGTCCATAAAAATTAGTTTTACCCCAAAGAGACAATGATATATTCTTACTTATAGGTCTATAAAATACATTCAATTTACAATTATCTAAACAAAAGAAAGCAGCAAATCCTCACATTAATGAAGCCGATACCAAAGAATGTTTTGGCTTTACTTGAAGACTGAATTTACTTATAGATTAATTTAATATAATCTTATTCGATGCCCAAACGTATACATTGCTTCTTTCTTGTCTTTCCAAGTCTTTCTATATGTACTGTGAGTCATTTATAAACCCTACAGATGGGATATGACAATGCATCATACCAGGACAAACACAGCTGTGTGGCTCCACCTGGCTGCCAGGAAGGGCCCACTGTACATCTAAGAGGCCCTAGCAGAGACCAAAAGGTGGGTCACTGCCTGCATGGTGTGTGTAGGAACTAGAAAAAAGTCTGGTTGACAAAAGACCTTCCTGTGGCCAGATATGGTACCTGTTTGTGTGTTTAAGTTCTGTGTGAACATGGTCCATTTTTGTCCCTTGAAGAGTGTTTATGTTGAAAGGCTATAGAATAAACAGCAGACGATACAAGGCCTTGGCTGAAAGACAATGGTATATGATAACTGTGGGAGGGGTTGTTGTTGGTGGTCTCCCCCCTTCTGTTAAGAGAAATGTTTGCACCTCCTTCCTCAGGACAGGCACACGTACACACATCTCACTATGAAACACAGGAACATCTTAACAAAACAAGGCATCCTGTTATTCTTGCTAATTGCAAGAAGCAATGCCTATTCCGTGCCATGTAGACTGCACACACACACACACACACACACACACACACACACACACACACACACAATCTGCTCTCCGAAAACTCACACGTCCTGTTTCATACACACCCTTAAATATGATTAATATGTCTTTATCTAAAAGGACAGAAGTGTTATTGCCCGCGCAGATTTCTTTCAATGAAATCGTATCATGAAGCTATTTCTGGAAAATTGGGTTGACATCCCAGGGACCCTCACTTTCACCCCCACTGCCCTGTGGTCCCTCCAGCTCAGCTCTGCCATCTCCTTTCATCTTCATCGCTTTGACACTTAGCACTCTCATTATTTCTCCCCTTCAAAAACCATTTCATTAAACCACTCCCCCCCTCCAACCCCCCTGCTAAGTGTGGGGGCCGGCCAGCTCATGTAACAAAAAAACATGCACACACGTGTGAGATGCACATTTGCACGCAGACACAGGATCTCTTCCAAAAACACATAAACACAGTAACAATTGGTTAACACCCCAAAGTGTTGGTTCCTCTCACGTATGGGCTCGCACCAGTTGCTATTTGTGAGGCCTTCACAGGACATTGGTGCCTGCGCTGGGTGTTAAAGAGCCGCAGGACAATGTGTGCAATGAAACAACATGAGTATCCCCTGGGGACTGACGATTTCTCTTCAGCTGAGTGTCGAGCAGAGAACATGAGAGAACAGCTCATTGAAATACTGAAATGTAGACGAGTCGCTCCTCTGAATCTTTAATGTTTTACACGTTTTAAAAGTATAGAAAACACTTTTTACACTTTATGACAATGCTTTATTGCTTGTAATAGTTCTTTGTATGTTTCCTTATCTTGGCTTTGTTGCTCATTACGCAATTAATCGATTAGTTGATGAACAGGAAATTAATTGGCAGTAATTTTGATTAACAATGAACTTTCAATTAATCAAGCTGCTTCTAAAATGTGAGGATTTGTTGCTTTTCCTTGTCTTACGTCATAGAGCTTTCGAGTATGAAGGCAGCACATTGGACATTTTTCATTATGTCCTCACTTTTTATACACTGAACAATGAATCAATTAATCCAGAAAACAACTGGCAGAATAATTCGGTAATGAAAATTAGTTAGGTGCAGCTACGGCTGCATGTTTGTGAGAAGGTGTAGTTGCTGACAGCTTGTGTCCTTTTTCTGGCATGTTTTAAAGCAATATTGTGCTAATAGTTAGTATTATAAACATCTTTATGTTTTTTTTATCACTCAATTTATTCTGTTTTTTTGTCCCTTATAAAAGTCAAAATCAATAAAATGTTGTCTTAAAAAGTATTCTGACCTAAGTTTTTTATGACTGCTCTATAACATCAAATTGAAATATTTAAATGTGTTGTGCATAATTTCCTTCTCAGTCAGCATGAAGTACATTTCATGCTTGGAAACCTGAACAATGTTTAACTGCTCAACATACTGTTGTAATAAAGACCTGCTGGTGGGACAGTGTCAATAAAATTACATTATTGTCAAAGATAAAACCGATCAAATATAAGATCTATAAATATTGTGAAACTTTGGCTGCTTTAATCCCGCCTGGCCCCTGAAAAAGCCTTTTTTGGTCACTTTCTGCACTAGTCTGATTATTACAGTGTAATTAAGCTGTTATGGTGTCATTTTTTTTCAAAATGTGATAAAAGAATGTGTGTTATGAAATAACTTTAAATTTAGATATGTCACCCTTACTGACAAACAAGCTAAGTTGGACACCACTCAGAGAGCGTGTATAAAATTTTGGGCTGCTTTTTGTCCAAGGACACTTGCCTGGAGTAACACTAACTTAAAAACTTTGATGTAATGTTTATAATCTTGAAGTCTGTATACCTTACTTTGCTCCCAGTTAAATGCGTAAAAGGAGACACTGAAGAGGAATGACTCGAACTGGACCGCTAGCTGCATGTTTGCCATTTATGTACAAAAACAAAAACAAGGTATTTACAGAATTTGAATCTGTCAAGTTAGCCATTTATAAAGGAGAGAGTTCACATATGTCTTTAAGCCGCATATGGTTGAATCATGGGGGGTTAGGGTCAGAGGTCGCAACGGCTCTTTCTGGCAAATTCCAGCCTCGGTTTCAACATGCATTTAAATCTAGCAAAGAAGCTGCAGCCATACTGACACAATCACTCAAAGCACACATGAACATATATATTTCATACATGCACACATATATTTTGAGCATCCTTTGACACAAATTAAACTTTTGCCATCTACTGCCACCAGCGCACACATCGCCAACCAGAAACCCCCACATACGTTACATATCAGTGACAGTGTGCAGAGGAAGGAGCAGGGTAATAACAAGTGTGAGACAGGAAATCCCACTCTGTGGGTGGAGGCTAATGAATACTCAGGGTGCAACACCAGGAGAACACCGCTACCCTGTCAGACTTTTAGTAGTTAAGTTCAGACGGAAGTTACACAAGAGAGAGCAAAGGCACAAACTTAAATAAAACTCCTTTTGGAAACAAACGAAGCTCTAATGTTGGGAAGAAAGCAGTTTCAAGTGTATACTTTGACAAAGTGGAAATACTGTTTAGATGCAGAATTCCCCACCAGAAGACTGCTTTTTCATTCAGTGAGGGCAGTTACAAATTAGCATGAAATAAGGTTTTATGGTGCTTTGTCAAAGTGTATCAGTATGCTACACCAGACACTGTACAGAGAAACGTACCCTCCGGGGTTTCTTGGCAGTTTGTTGATTAGTGTTACATAAACAGGCCCCTCCTGAACCTCAAATCCGCCTCGTATCTGCTCTCAGAAACCTCTCAGATCTGAAAACCAGAACTTTGGAAAATTACATTTGGTATGGGCTTATGGTATCTAAGAATGCTTTGAGGCAAAATAATCCCCACTATGTGACCCTGCATAGTGATCTTGCCCCAGGTACTAATGTGTGTGTCCATGTGAGGATGTGATGAGCTGCTGCTTGAAGCCAGGGGGATAAACACATTCCCATATGACCACATGTATGCATGTCGACAGACAAACACACACTCACATATGTGCACAAACATAACTCACAGTACCACGAGGGATCAATGGCAGCCAGGGAATCAGGGAAACTATCATCTAAAGAACAGCAGCCATGCTTGTAGGTCAGACTCCATCACTTAATGTTCTCTTAACCTCCTTGCCACAACACAGCCAGCGGCCTGAGCACTTCACCACAGAATATATTGTTTAATTTCCTCTGCAGTTTTCAAAACAACCATGACAGTGGGGTGTTGAATGTGTGCCAGTCTCAGTGGCATCAGGGAGCTCCAGCGGGCCCCACAGGCCTCTGAATCAACCGACCAGAGCAGAGGGAAGCCATCTAGTCTTCACTTGGCACGCTTAAGGAGTGTATTTGTTGCACCAAGAGATGAACTGAGACTCAGGGGATAATGCAAAGACAACACTAATAATGTTTGGATAAGCTTCAGAAGAATTCCTTCTAAGCTTCTTAAAAGCATGTTTCATCCCTTACTATGGGCCCTGAATTTAGAGACTGTAATGTCATATTGCTTTAGCGTTGTGGCGTGAATGGTGCAGAGTTGGAACATTTTACAGTTGGCTCAAATTTAAAGTCATAAAATCATATCATCATCTTCATCATCATCAATCGTATCATCATAAAATACGAAGCAAACTAACTTGATTGCATAAACAGAAGCTGTGAGGTTAGAGAAATAACATAGATCAACTCCCACTGTACCATAAATTGAATGCTGCATTAATAATTGGGTGATGTTATTTCTTATTCCTGCAGTACAGAAAGTCCACTACAGCATATCAAAGCCCACTTCTAGTGTTGGTGACAGTGCAGAGCAGTGAATGGTACCCAGGAGGCTTTCCCAGTGCCAGCTATTGATATGATTTACAAGGCCTGCAGCAGCCTTTAACTGCCTATTTTTCTAACTTCATACAGACATTTAAATGACTGTAATATCTTCTCTGCAAGCTCATTAACTAAATGAAGTTTTTAAATTGGAAGGGGGGCTTTGAGGAAAATGAATGAGGGTTGTATTTTTGTAAATGGCCGAACATAAGTTTCATTGATGGCAGTGCGACAGACCACAGTATAAACGACTCACTGAACCTACCTATGGGTAAGGCGAGAAAGAAGGGCAGCCAACAGAGCGTAAACATGCCGACCACAACTCCCAAAGTTTTTGCCGCTTTCTTCTCCCGGGAGAATTTCAGAAGTTTCACCGTGAGGGAGCTTCTGGCTTGGTGCGCGCGGCCCTTGCCGGTGCCTGAGCTGCCGGGGTCCTCCTGCACCTGCGAGCCCTTGTGGATCCTGAGGGTCAGCTCGCTGGAGTTCATCCTCTCACGCATCACACCGGCTTCCAGGTTCTTAGTGGTCCGTTTGGCGACTATGTACACCCGGCAGTACATGGCCAGAATAACGACGAGAGGGATGTAGAAGGAGCCGAGGGAGGAGAAGAGCGCGTAAAACGGTTCCTCGGTGATGGGGCACACCGTGTCGTCCGGCGACGGTGGCTGCTTCCACCCAAACAGAGGTCCAATGGAGATGACCACCGACAGCGCCCAGACCCCGAGCATGGCCAGCAGAGCCCGCTTCTCCGTCACGATGCCCGGGTACTGCAGCGGGTAGCTCACTCCGATGTAGCGGTCGATGGATATTACGCACAGGCTCATGATGGACGCGGTGCAGCACAGCACATCCACCGCTGCCCAAATGTCACAGAAGATCCTGCCGAACACCCAGTAGTCTAGGATCTCCAGCGTGGCGGACACCGGCAGCACCGTGGTGCTCAGCAGCAGGTCGGCGATGGCCAGGTTGATGATGAAGTAGTTTGTCGGGGTGCGCAGGTGCCTGTTGCACACCACCGAGAGGATGACGAGGATGTTACCCGCGATGGCGAACACGATAAAAGCCCCAAGCACCAAACCGAGCGGGATGGCTCGGGTGAGGTCCACCTCGCTGGGTTCCGTGTGGTTTCCCCCGGAGCTGTTGGTAAAGTTGACCGGGGAGGACGCACCCGGAGTCCCGTCGAGTTCCGCGGAACCATTTTTCCACAAGTTTGTGACATTGTCAGTGCTCAGACTCATTTTGACTCAAGAAGTCCTCCATAGCAGGTTTCAGATCACTTGTAACTGCAACTCACGAAAGAGCTTTACCAAACATAAATAAACCGTCTAAATAGCCAAAGTCTGCATGGTTTAACTGCGTGGTTGCAATTTCATTTCCAAATCAGCGCTGAGAACAAACGCTCACTGTGCAGCAGTACAGTCCCCATACAGTCCTTCTCCCTCCACTCTCCTGAGGCTCAGTGAAGAAGTGAGGGGGGCAGCAGTCATCTCCTGCCTCCTCTGCACCACACACAGCTCTGCCATGTACTGACCAGACATACCTAAACTCGAGCCTATGAAGCGCGCATGACGCATCGTTACATGAAGAGCCGTGACTCCACAGAAAGCGCAACACATATATTTGCATCATTTTACCCAAACATGCGGGATTGAGTAGAGATTTGTGCGTTTTGTGAGAAGCGCCTCTTCGGTGTCTTGTATTTGTTTTTCCTCACTGTGGGAGGGCGCTTAACTGGACAATTACAAGTGAAAGACTTCTGAACTTTTTTGTCGGCTTGTAGTTTGGAGTCCCATAAAAAATGGCACCATGCTTTAATGGCAGCAGAAAATAAGAGCAGTTATAATACAGAAAACTCAAACTCAAGGTATTCTTGAGCATATACCACTGTATGAAATAAGATCTACTCCATCTATGTGTGGTCCTCAGAAGTATTTAGGATGTTCAGGCACGCCACTTAAAAGGTTAAGCCTTAAAGGTCAAATTAACTAAGTTCAAAAGTAGATAACAAAATCACATACAATCCCCTCTGCTATAGCAGGTGTTTATCTCCTATTTTGGTCAAATGCAGGAGTTCCTCAAAGTAACCTCATTTTGGATATGAGCTCAGTTAGTGAGGAGTGACTTAATGGACTGAGTTCAGAAACATGCACATTCCTAAAACTGAGGTTTCTCCTGGTTAAGAGCTTTTTGACTACTGATGATCGTGAACACTGGTGGAGGACAAAATACCAGCAAATGTTTCTTATGATAACCCGTGGAAGAACTGTAATATAAATAAATATAAATAAAATGATTCAATGTAAAAAAAACACAAGTTCCCTCTCATACAGAATCTTTTAAGCTCTGTTAAGCTGTTCTTTATTCATCCACCAGGAGGAACTTTAAGATTTACGATCACTCAGTGTCATGTTTTTTTATTCTTCCTCGTTAATATTTATTAGAAACATAAAACAGTCTTTATATTCTTATGGTTCAATGACTTCATTGTCTTTTTTACTAGAAATGTTTAGGTTATCTTTTGAACCAGGTTATCTCAACGGTCTGGGATGTCATTAGAATTTGAATAGATTTAATTAAAACCAGCATATTAAGTGAGTTTATTCTCAATATTCATTCTCCATTCTGTAATAATATGAAGCTTCTCTAGAAAGGTACACTTATAGCGTGAAAGGTGTTGTTTTTAATCCAACCAAAACCTTGGCCTCTACTCTGTTTCTTAACTAGCTTTACTTTTTCATTCACTTCCAGCATTTACCTCCTTACTTCACTGCTGCGCTCATCAAGTTTTTAATGCTTCCATAACAGTATGTGTAAATGATGGTGTGAAGAACTGGAGAAACACATTGTTAAAATTATGTAAAAACTAAATGTGCCGTTCTCTGAGATGTACTTGTTCCTGATGATTGATGTACCTAATAAAAGTTGCATTATCATAAAATTTTACTTTTAACAGCTGAACTGTAATTTTGCACATTCAGAAGACTGGACAGCATCCGTCTCCACAGACACACAAAGGAAACACAAACCAAGAGTGAAGGAGAAAGTAAAAGCATTTATTTATTTTCCTAGGCTCATTTCAAAAGGTTTATTCTCAAATTATATTCAAAAATAAATAAATAAAACACAGGGATGGAATTAAAAAGAAAATAAATTAATGAATGTCTCTTTGGTGTTCACCTCCACCTTCCTCTCAATTATGTCCCTCCCTTAAAGGTTCACTGGGGAGTTTTTGACCCCTAGTAGCACCTGGAGCTGTTCTTCTGGGTGGGTCCCTGTTTGTTTGGATGTGCTTGCATGCACATGGTTTCACACTACAGGTGACGGCGAGAGGCCAAGATATGCTAAAATAGGCATAAAAGAAGATATGCGATTTTCTGAGTGACACTGAATGTAAACATAACTTTTGTTGGTTTATAAGAAAACTCTACAGAAGCCGCCTATATGTTAACTGTGCATTCTCCAATTCAGTTTTGAGTGTGTTCATGGAAAAGTTGTCATCAGAACAACAAATTAAATACTTAATGTGAGGAGAAATTAAATTTACCCACGGGGAGATTTGGTTTAAGCGACAGCAAAAAGTGATATTCAACTAGGTGAAATGTATAGATTATAATGAGAAGCTATACAAACAAATATTAAAAGTAAGGTTATCAGTTTAAGTGCAGGAATGATTATATATGTCTTTAGTTAAGAGTGACCATTTCTTTTATGTGATGCACATAAATAGTAAAGTAATGTAAGACTATTTCAGCTGCCAAAGAGGAGAGGAGAGAGGAAAAAAACGTTCTCTTCTTAATGCCTGATAAGGTCTATTTGACCATAATGTTGGAGCCAATTAACAGTGTGTGGATTTTTTTTTCTTAGTTTTTATTTCCAATTATCATCACTAAGTGGATTTGTTATTCTGAGCTACAGTGATACAATAAGAGTGTAAAAGCAATCATCACTGTCAGGAATGCGATTAAAATGCAGCTATAAACTTTTAGTGTCATGAACTATTCCTTCCTTTTGTTTTAAGCCTGAAGCAGTAAAGTGATGCGACTGATCTTTTAATATTGCTCTTTATTAGTATTACCAGTCAGGATCCTGTAGGAATGATGACTGTTTTTCCATCTGATTGGTCAGTCTGATGGCAGGTTTTGATCTAATCCTGTGAAGGGAATAAAGTTAATCTGCCCCACAGCAGCTTTAAGTTTCTTCATGTTAGTCAGTCTCTATTTGTTTTATGTCTTTTTATCTTTGGGTTCATGTAGGCGACAAAAGATGCTTGGATTTTGATCACATGAAGCAGGATTATTCAGAGTTAACTTCCAGAAGTTCTTCTTGGTTCAGGTCAAATGTACAGCTCATAATGTAACTGCAGTATAACAGGCAAGACCCAACAGAATAACACACATAACAAAGCCTGTGTGCAGTCCGATCCTTTCAGTGTGAATATTTTATGACTTTTAGGAACCTGTTTGGTCACCAAAAGATCTTTAAAGGTCAATTTAAAACATCTAACATGAAATAACAACAAAAATAAGATTCATACAGGCACCTTTAGAGCTCAACAAGACCTCCAGCTGCAGACAAAGAGATCCCTAATTTTCTTTTCTTTACAGTGTGTGGTAGCATTCCTTCAGAGAGGATTAGACATTAGACGCCCACGCAGTCTTTCAATCCTTCAACAGACACCACCAGCACTCGGTTATTATGAACATCTTTCCTAAAAGATGAATCACCTGGAATTATATCATTTCATATCTAAGACCGGATTTTAGTGCTGGGATGAAGTGCCCATTACACTTGATTGAATACACTGTGCTCTCGAATAACATAAAAAGCTTCTGTTGCTTAGCATGCTGCCAAGGGCTCTGGGTTAGAGAGAAGTTTCATCTTCAACAGGAGCGCCCTCCGTCTTTCTGTGTGCTTCAGTGGTGAGGATTTGCCTCAAGTTTAAGAGGATCAACTTTTCTTCTTGGCAGGACAAGCGATATAAATCTCGAATTACATAAGACAGGGAGCAATTTGATTTCTTTTTAAAGACATAGCACCTAGTTTTGTGCAGCAATTTGTTGTTATTTCAATCATTAGTCAAATGAGATTATGAAAGATGTTTTTTCTAGATTGCAGATAAAGACATTTCCACATTTAGAATAGTTTGTTTTGTTATGTAGAGATTTATTTCTCTGTACTTTGTCTGTCAAACTCAAGCAACTGGAGGAAATTTCCAGTTAGACGTGGCTCATAATGCTAAAAACAAGACTGCAATTCATTTCTGGGAAACTTCCAGATCTTTTGAATTAAAATTGTTTGGGTTTAGTGATCTTGGCTGGATGTTTTTTCCTGCTGCGAAGAGTTAGGAGGTGAAAGGTGAGAGTCTTTTCTTTGACCTTGTGTTTCTGTTCAAGGCCTGACCTCCAAACAGTCTGGTCACGGCAATGCTGTGCTCACTGACACCATATGTTCAGTATTATCCAGTTCCACAAGAGACACAGATCCTTTTATCATCAAACTGAAAACACAGGGCTGATTTAGGAGCAGCGTGGAGTGGCTTGACAGTATGACAGATTTTCTGCTTATTGGACGTGAAGCAGATAATGACAAACCAGTTTTGCATTCAGGTCTTAAGTTAAGTAACAATACATTATTTTAAAAATAAAACATAATGAGTAAAAGTCCTGTATTATTAAATGTACATTATTATCAGCTAAATGTATTTAAAAGTAAAAATACTCTGGCCCCCGTGACTGATTATTATCATGTATGATTTGATTATATTGTTAATATTAATAAATATATAAGCAGAACTTTACTGTTACATTTGGCGGGTCATGAATGAATGAATTAATGTAGTAGGAAAGATGAAATAACTAAGTTCTGCTACACAAATTTGTTTTCATGATTTAGACTTCTCTCAGATCTTTGATGTGAAATATTGGATCATTTTATCTCGTTAGATAGAACTGCTGAAAACTGCTGTTATGTAAAGGAAACAATTTATTGTATTCTGTGAGCTTATCATATATTTTAATGTTAAATGGAAAGCTTACAGTTACTACATAGTAACTTGTAGTACAATATCTCCCTCTGAAATGTAGTGAAGTGAGAGAAAAATAGCATAAAATGGAAATACTAAAATGGAAGTAAAGTACTTTGAACACTGTGCATAAATAATACTTGAGTAAATGGCCTACTTGGTTACTTTCCAGCACTGTGACAATTAACTCAAAGAAACTTAGTTCGAAGTTGATGTAACTCATATAGCCTAAACATATAATCACTTTCCATTAGATTTTGATCCGACTGGGCAGAAGCAGACTGGCAGCAAAAGGCAGCACAGACACTTTTAGGATTAGAAGAAGAAGATCCTCAAGGAACCTTCTGAGGTTCATTCATTCACTATCACCTCTGTGGAGGAACCTTCTGGGGTTCATTCATTCACTATCACCTCTGTGGAGGAACCTTCTGGGGTTCATTCATTCACTATCGCCACTGTGGAGGAACCTTCTGGGGTTCATTCATTCACTATCGCCACTGTGGAGGAACCTTCTGGGGTTCATTCATTCATTCATTATCACTACTGTGGAGGAACCTTCTGGGGTTCATTCATTCACTATCACCTCTGTGGAGGAACCTCCTGGGGTTCATTCATTCACTATCACTACTGTGAAGGAACCTTCTGGGGTTCATTCATTCACTATCGCCA